TCATTATGAGAGCAATGAACACTGGATGGTATAAGTTATGAGATATTTAGGTGGGTGTATTACAATTTAAATTGAAGTTAGAGGATCAGCTCAATCAAAAGTTTAAGATGTAATACCATGTAAGCTGATACAATAGTGATAGAGGAGAAAATTACACACATTTTGAGGTTGTAGTTTTCAATTTCCATGACTATCTTATGAGAATTTTTCCTAGGTGTGCTTTTCAATATTCAATAGCCATAGACTTTGTAATTGAAAAAGGTTTTCAACCAGTGCATTTGTAGTAAATAATTATGGAGGCCTTCATAGTCTGAGTTAGTCCTTTAAGAAAAGAGTAAAGGAGGCCTGAGATTTCAGTTGGGAGTTTGTTATTAATTCTGGAATATTTTTAAGGGACTGTTTTTGTATAACTACCATGTTTTCCAATCTGTGCAAAACAGAACTAAGCACAAATTGATTGGATTCAGTTATTCATAGGGAATCAGTGACCTTACAGGAAAATCAACATAAGGCACATCAAATGGTGTAAACTTTGGCTTGACAGATTTAAGCATTCCAACTCTGAAATTTACTATTTTCAATTTCCTGGGACAATCACTTTTGTTTGTTTTTTTCTATAGAAGAACAATTTTAAAAAAATCAATATTGTTATTATTGCTTCATAGGTGTTAGCCAACTAGAAAACGGAAGATTCTGATGAAGAAAACAAGAAAATTTTCAGGAATTAGAAATAGAAAGTCTGGGTATACTTAAATCAGATGCACCAAACTTTAACTTCTATGCACATTTGAAGCAAAGACTAAGGAATAAGATTTGTAGATGTGTGGAATGACAAAAATAAATGCCCCAAAGTCTCTGAGACACTGAAGTTGTATGAGTATCAAGTCCCCGCACGGAATGCAAAGGTCCCTGGCACAGGAATTATAGCAGTGAAGATAATTACTCATCGGTCCTATCTCTAGCTATGGAAGAGTTAATTCTGAAGTTCTCAGAGATAATCAATCTTTCAGTCTCCTATCCATAAATTTGTAAACCAATTGGAAAAATAGATACAGGTGATGATGTGTTGTTGAGCTATGTGTGACTTTTTCTATCTCTTTTAATTCAAAGAGTTTGTGATTCTAAATCTGGTTACACATAAAGAACTACCAATGACAGTAAATGACAACAGAAAGAGGAAAAAAATGGACTCCCAGTACATTTTACTCACTAGATAATACAGTGGATTTAATCTAGGGATATTTTTGTCTAACCTCTTCTTTCCTTTCCACCCAGGGACATCAATGTCTGTAAACACATTTGCCACACAGGAAGGGATGTATACGCCACCGTCTACTCAGTACAATCAAGAAAGTTGCCAAGTACCCTATACCATACAGAGCCACTTCCCTCATCCCCAGCAAAGAATTACCAGGTCTAAAATGTCAGTAGTGTTAAAGTTGAGAAAACCTGAGACTACCCAATAAATGACGTAACAACAACACACACCTAAAGTGCAAATGCTTCTTTGGTATACATTGGTGTCTTTGAAGACCTTAAAACAATCATGCTGATAATTCAAAAAGCCACAACAGAAATGTTGGTACCAGATGAAACTTGTACTCTTGCATCTGCTCAGTAAGAACTAAAGTGGAAATTATATCTGGTCAGGGACACCTATTGAGTAGCTTTTATTCTTAGGTTTGAAATTAACAGATGATTCAAAATAAAGCAAACAGCACAGATGCACAATCCTGAAATGTATTCCAGAAACATTCTTCAGATAAAATATTTTATAGTTTCCTAAGTAGAATAAAAATTTGGAGTGGTCTTATTGGTAAAGTTGTGTTTGAGGATTTTACTGTATTATGATGACCAGTTTATGTGTCTGAATTCTGTTACTATGCAAGACCTAGCACTGTAACTTGGTTGCAGCAGGTGCTCAATAAATAATTAATTGAAGTAAATGGTTGAATGAATGAACAAACAAATAAAAGGATAAAACAAAATGCCATGTGAAATGTTAAGTGTTTGATAAACACAAGGTAACATGAATATATAATATTTAATATACCTGACCTAACAATCTTTACTCACAAGGCCTTTCTGGGACAAAAACATTTAAACAGTTTAAAGAGAAAATAAAAATTGTGATTGTATATGTGATAAGAAAACCAGCCGTAAGGAGTATCAGTATTTAAGTACATTTGGGAAGAAGTGAAATAAAGACAGAAAATATTTAAACAGCAAAGATAAACAGTATTGCTAATGTGGATGGCCACAGATGGGGAGGTGGGGGAGGTGACCTGCAGACCCAAGAAAGACCCTGCAATGGCTAGAACTTGAAAGCATTAGTTGTTATTAAACTAGCAGAATCAGAATACAGCAATATGAGAGAAAGATTGGTCCAATGTTCCAAATGACACAATAGAGTAGATAATTCAGATAGCAAATAAAATGAGGTTTGAGATGGATTGTGCCTTTCAAACTGCTTGGTTGGTCTTAATTGCTGACACAGGGGTGTAGGCAATAAGAATTGAACAAAAATCACCACCCATCAGGAGTTTTAAGTTCCAGACCCAGTGCTGACACTGGTAAAGTTACTACATCTTTTCGGACCTTGGTTTGCTTATCTTTAAAATGAAGACGTTAGATTAGATGACCTCCCATCATCTGGCATACAGGTGCTGATTCCCAAAGCCGGATCATGGGCAGGAAAGTGAAAGAAAGAACAATCTTTTGGAATTAGTGGATCACATTTTAATAAAACATCTAGAAAAATGCCAGAAGAAATACAAAGCCAAAGAACATTTCACAGGAGGAAGAAATCCTAACCATAGTTTCCCTCTTCTCATTTAGTCATAGTTTAAATATTAATTTCTTATTGTAGAGTGAAAGTGCCTTGAACCAAGGCAAGGATCCCCCCCAAAAAAAACTTAATTTTTTTTTATGGGCAACATCCTAGGGACATTACCAAAACTACTCCTTCAGGAAGAAATGACATAGAATTTATTTTTTTTGCCCGAACTGGTGAATTATGCTAAATTAAGAATATAGATTACCTGAATATTAGCATAATTTAAAGTAATTATATTCCTTTTATATAGCCTGCATTTGCAAAATCTTACATACATGTCCCGTGTATTTTTATATTTTAATGTCAGAGCCTCTTACATTTGTGTTACAAGATTAAAATAAATATGAAATTTCATTTGTAGTATTAAAGAGAATCCTTCTGTTCAGATTTTGGACTTCCTTTTGCAGAAGTGTAAAATGGGATGTCAGAAGAAACTAGAGAAGCTAAGTAACTCTACATAACAAATAACCCAACCTGTTGAAGAACACACACAGGCTAGGCAAGGTGGCGCACACCTGTAATCCCAGCGGCTTGGGAAACTGAGGCAGGAGGATCTTGAGTGGAATGCCAGCCTCAGCAACAGTGAGGTGCTAAGTAACTCAGCGAGACCATCTCTAAATAAAATACAAAATAGGGCTGGGGACATGGTTGAGTGCCCCCCTGAGTTCAATCCCTGGTACAAAAAACAACAACAACACACACACACACACACACACACACACACACACACCAGAGGCAATTTTGGTGTGGGAAAAGAAAGGTAGCTGAATGGATATCATGTGGAGCAAGTACTAGAGGAAATATGAAGATGGATGGAAAAGAATTTATGTAATTTTTTGTGTGTTTTGAATGCATTATTCTTTGACAATTTCTTAAGAAATGTATATAAGAATGTATATGAATTGTCTCTGATTGCCTTTTGGACTGATGGACTATTCTTCCTTTGAATGCAAATTTGTGCTGACCCTGGACCAATAAATGTGCTTTATATGGACCACACTGACATAAGATTTTAAAAGTCTGTTCATCTGTACATTTAATCAGTCTGCATGATAATCTTATAAGGAAAACAGGACTGAAATGTTTTCATTTTCCAAAATTGAAAACTGAGACTTATGAAGGTTTAAGTGATTTTTCCAAAATAAAATAGTGGAGACTCAAAGTCATGCTCTTCATTATTCCATGGGCTCTCTTTGAAATAAAAACCAAGAACCACTTCATATGTGAAAGAGACACCAAATCTTCTCTCTTTTCCCCTCTTCATTTGTCTTCAAGAATAAATAATCTGAAGGAAACATCTTTGTAGGACTTTCTACTAGAATTTTCTACAATGAGTATAGTGTTGATGGTAGTCACAAACCATCTGAGGCCTCCTCACTTGAAGTGTGGCAAGTGTGACTCAAAAACTGAACTTTAAATTGTATTTAATTTTAACTGATTTAAATTTTAGTTGCCACGTTTGGCTAGTGGGTGATAGTGGACAGCATAGCTGTAGGTAATACAAATCAGAGATTAATATACTTGTGGTGGGTTGTCCTTTATAATTTATCTTTAGTTTTCTATTTTTTAGTACACCTTTAGGTCCAAACGCTTCCAAAACAAACCAACATTACAGTCAGTGCCGTCTGATTTCCTTAAGATATCTTTCATGGCATTTAATACATTTAGCTAATCACTGATTATTACTTTTATAAAAAATTAAGATGAAATAGCTAAATACCTCTGTAGCACCATTTACCTGATTTCTCCAGAAGTTTGTATGTGTCCCTTTGTTATTCTTTTTTTTTTTTTTAATTATTATTGATTCTTTCCCTATTCTCATAGCCTGTTGAGTCACATACCCAGGCACCTTTTCTAATATGTAACACATGTAGGGTTCAATGCTGTGGTGTCCATTCTGAAATTTCCAGAAACTGTGTTTGCCCTTTGCAGCAAAGGAGCATCAAGAACAAACCAGAAGTACACATAGAAAGGAAGTTTCGAAGTGTATTCACTCAACGTTTTCTCTTTGCAACTCAAGAATTCATACACAACTCAGATTTCTCACCACCTTGAACTCTTTAGTTCTCTTAGGAAGTTTCCCCACACTTTAGTAGAAGCTTTTCTACTTCCACAATCCACACCCCTCTCCCAACTTGGTGCTTTGGATCATTGAACAATCCAGAAGGTTTTTATTTATTTATTGAAACAAGATTATCAAATTTTGTAAATGTAAAAATGGAAGACAAGCTCCGATGGGTGTAAGGACAACATTACCGCTTAAAAGAAGTGTATAAGGAATTGGATCAAAATATGCAGGTATTTATATAATTGCCAATCCATTGCTGTTGGAAGCCACACCTACCATCAAAGCTGATGAAAAGAAGCATTATCGTATCCCAGAAGGAAGTTGTCTTTGTGTTCCATATGTATTTGTAGAATGCCAGTTGCACCAGTTACATTGGTTAAATCATCTGGTTATTGCTATCTGAACCAACCTACTCCACAAGAATAAGTTGGCATATTTCATATAAACTGAACATAGCTATAGCAGATTGTCATCACATCCTTCAATCACCTTGCTTTTCATTTATTGTTTTCTTGCCATTATTAACTAAGCAGGTTAGGAAAAAGTTAGCATTCTCATCAGATACTTAAAAAGATAAAGCAAAATATACATGACAGAAAGCAGCACTTGCTTATGGTGGACAATGGTGATGATAAAGTGTGACATTGTTAGTGGACTGATGCTGTCCAATGGAGACACTGTGCACAGAGGCTAAGCTGTTAGTAAAGTGCTACTTTTGAGACATCTCTGCTTTCTGAGACCTGAATCTGCAAATGTTGAGCACTGTACCTTTCAAAAACCAACAGTTTCTTGGCATGGAATGTAAGTTTCATGGATCAGTGTGTGGATAATATTGTACACAGTACAGAATTTAAACTTTAGGAGCTCAGTATGTATATTAACCCCTTTCCTCCTCAAGTGATGCTTTCCTTCATTTGGGGGGAATTTTTAAAATTTGGATTGTGATTACTGGGCAAATGGCAGCTCCATCTAAAGAGTTTTAAGCATCTGCTTCATTTAGCCAGGGAGGGAAGGGGTTGGACATGAAAAAGAGTGGATCAAAGAGGCAGGGAACTGACAGGCACTGCCACTAATTGACCCACTTTGACTAAGTGACATAAAAATATTCTAATATTAAGGATTATTTTACAACTCTATGGAAGTAATGCAGTGATACATCTTGCATTTGTTTTGTCTTAATGACAAAATGCACTCTTAGAGTCACAAGAGCCTGCCTTGTGTTAGTTATAAACAAAAATATATTTATTTATATATTTATGTAACTACTATGTGCTTTAAAGAAAATTACTGTATGATTCAGCAGTGTTCTTTCCTTCTTTATATCACCAGGGATATCCTGACTTGAGCGGCTTCTTGGATAGGAAATGAAATGGGCTTTTTGCACTGAAATAGAAAAAAAAAAATTAAAACCCCATATACTTAAAATCCCTTAACTTTTTTTTTTTTTGTCTCAAAAATGATCAAGGAACTCTTGGTATTATTTCTTTTTGTTTCCATCGGCCAACAGTAACTGGCTCCATGCGACTTTGTGGGTGGGAGACAGAAGCAACCTTTCTGAACGACAATCAGATGTCTTTACTCTGAGGCAAGAGAATGGAAAGCCTCATTTACTACTCCCTCCTTCTTAATCCTCAACTAACAGTGTGGAAATTGTGTCACAGCTCATAGAAAGGGCCTTCCTGACCAAGACCCAGGCAGGCATCCTGAGAACCTCCTGTACAGATGAAAGAGTCATCTTGCAAACTAATGAACTTGTTGGAACAGATGGATCTAGAGCCAAAAAAACCAAAATCCTCGTGCCACACGTCTGTTTGGAAAAGATAGAAAAAATCTCTTATTTTGTGTTTGCTTTTCCTCCCATGTGAGCTATTGTTCCCAGCAATCTTGAGACATTCATCATTGCTTTGTTGAGTGAAAGGGTTCAGGCTTTAGAACACGGTTACCTTGGAGACATCAGAGAAGAACATTTGAACCAAAGATGAAGATCCCTTGTGAACTAAAGCTTTATTATTATTATTTTCCTCAATCCCTTTGCAACCCTGCACCTAAGCCAAAAAGCATCATAATATTGTTATACTTCTGAAAAGTCCACAGGAGATGTTCCGAGTGAACTACAGATGTCATTCCACTAGAGAACTCCATGCTCAGTATAAATGGTATCCAGTATAAGCTTGAAAATTTCTTTTAGACTTCCTGGGCTGGGCTTGTCCAGAAATCTCGTCTCCTTCAGGCTACAGCAGCTTAGGGCTCCTTTGCGTGTGTGTCTTTGTTTTTTTTTTTTTGTTTTTGTTTTTCTTTTTTTTTTTTTGTCTTAAAGGTATAGGCAAAATTTTAGTCTTAAACACCTGTAAGCCAGTACTGGTGCTGTTCAGTCCTAGAAATTTTAGCACTGCTCTGATACAATAAAACCTTCTTTCTCTCCGACTGGTTCAACTTCAGCATAGGCAGGATGTCCAGAACCCCTTCGAAATTTCATGGCAGGCCATCTGCTTGGACGTCTCTACAAGAGAAAGTGCAAAAGTAATGAGCATTGGGGTACAATACTATCATCAGAAAAAATATATTTGCCCGCTATTCTAGATTGACTACTTAAGTACATTTACTAACACATTGAATGAGCCCTCATTACCACCACAGGTGGAATTAACTTGTTCTCTAGAAGCCCTTGAAGCACTGTGCTTCTGTCTCTAGGATGACACTTCTAGCCCTGGGAAATGGCTGTCGATTTGCAACACGTGCCTTAGAGGACGGAGAGTTCTCACAGGCAAGTTTTAATGTCTTATGCACATTTATGTCTGAAAAGTACTCAAATGTAGAGGCAAAAATGAGCTACAATTTAAAATAAATCTTTTAAATATAAAGCTGTTGACAATTTCTCCTTTAGAAGTTAATATTGACATTACTTCATTTCATTTATTAATTCACCAAAAATGCATGACTATAAAGTTTTTCACAGTTCTTAAAAGTGTGCTTTCAATTTAGGTGCTAAGCTAAAAGAAATATTATTCAATTTATTGATAAATTATTTATTAAGTTCAAGATACCCATTTATGAATTTTTTTTGTTTGTAAATTAAATTTGTTGGACCCTGAAAATGGAGTCCATTATCAGGGGGTGGGGGCAATCTTGAGCCTATGAAGTTAAATTGCATAGTAGACACTAGTCCTAAAATACAGGTTATATGTCTTGACAAAAAGAGGGCATTTTTCCTTAGCATTCCCTCGAACAAAACTTCTGTGATTTAGAAATAGATGTGCTGAAATGAATTATTAAGATACAGCAGCAGAAGACACTAAAATGCATTTCACAGCCACAGTGACACTAGAAACGATTACTCCATTTATCAAAGGGCCTGCGATTTGGGGGTAAATAAGACAATAAATATTGAAGGAAGACTATTTATATCTAAAGAATTTTAATGCAAAAAAAGGTCAAATATCAGTGTACATATACTGGCATTTGGTATCTTGCTAGATTTGCCACTGACGTGCCACAGTCAATGATTAATGACTATGGAAGAAGTTTTTTCACATGGAGTAGGAATGGGTATTTATTCTACATTGGAAAAATACCAATTGAGGTAATTGCATTCTGCCTACTAATAATATTAGATGCTGTCTCTATGACACCATGTGGTTGGAATGCCTTATACTAATTAGCTGAGAGAGCCACATAGCAAAGCAAGGTACCTGAAGTGGGACTGAAAATCACCACCAGTGGACAAATGCTAAGCAAATCTAGGGAGGTGGGTGTTGTGACTGGTGATTACTCCTGTTTGGAGGGCTGAGGCCCACATTCTAGGCCTATAGTACTCACTACTTACAGGCCCCTTTCTTGTTTCCATCACTTTGCAACTGGGCTTTTCCTAAGCCATGACTGCCCTCCCCAAGCAACACCACTAAGACTTTGCTTCCAGTCTCCGCCTTTCCAAACTCCAAATGGCCTGTGGGTCTAGCTGGCAACTAATGCTCCATGAACTAGCACTAATTTCCAAGCCTAGCCCTTAAACGTGTTGTGCTCTATAGGGACTTTGTACTAGATGATTTGCATATAGGGTATCATTCAAAATGCAAATCCTAGTCATTTACATTTTGCACCAACCTGGAAAGCAGTGTATAACAATCGACATTAAAACAAAATCTACTTCCAAAGTTACTTCTGCCTGCTTTAGAAATTACTGCTTAAAAATCAATGGCTTATGCATAACTTCCCAAACATGTGAACATGGTTTTACTTTCATTTCACTCCTAAAAATAAGTTATTAAAAACTTTAATGTTCTGTTAATAAATCAGAATTACTAAATTAATAATTTTATCTCAGCTGAAAGGACTGTAGGGTTGTTAACCATTTATTTTGTGAGCTCACCATAGAATATAGCATAAATATGTTGGGCAGTGAAGCTTCCTCTGTTAACACAATACAAATTTATTTTTAGGTATTTTTTCCATACTCATAAAGATCATTGTCCATCATTCTTAAAGATCATTGTTCTTAATTTTTTTATATTCACTTTAGAAAAAAAATGTAAATATACCATGACAAGATTTAAAATCCCTAGAGATACACCTCTCACTTACAGTTCGGCTAAATTATCATTGTATATCACTCATTTGCATTTTATTACTAAATTTGAATAAAATGTTATCAGTGTAATAATGTAGCTCCACAATTATTTGAGACTTTTTTCTTTTCAAACAAAATCAAAAGCTTATACTTTTATAGTTTTAAAAAAATAAATTAAAAGAATGGGTAAGTGCCATAATAATAAATACCTTAAGATTTATAAAAGTTATATACTCTACTCTGGAAATCTGAAATCTGAAGTATTACAAAATTTGATACTTTGAGTGCTGATACAATGTCACAAATGGAAAATTCCACATGATGAAACAATGCTTCATGAATAAAATTATAAAAACATTTTATAAAACTATCTCTAGGCTCTCCGTGTATAAGATAAATACAAAACAATGAATTTTGTTTTGAAACTTGGATTCCATCCCCAAGATATCTCATTATGTATATGCAAATATTCCAATATTAACAAAAATCAAATCAAAATCGAAATCTGAAATATTTTTGCTCCCAAGTATTTTGGAAAAGGGATACACAACCTGTAATGAAAGCTAACACATGATCAAGCAAATGGAGTTTTAAAATATTGGTATTATGTTATGTATCTTTACAACTTCCTGACATACCAATCTTACCTCTAAAAATTCCAAATAAAGAGTAACAAATTCCTTTCTTTTTTTCCTAGAATGTTTTCACAAGCAATGTCATTTCATATCATGCCGCAGTCTGGCTGGGCACAAATCACGAGCCTCTCAAGAGGAACAGACTTTATTTCTGAACTTCACCAGCACACTCCACACACACTCCCCAGGAACTCCCCCAACACCACGCAGCTCCTCCAGCACTTCCCCAACCAATGCAAACTCTTCTTCAGGATTCTGCCCCCTGCGCACCCCCCCCCCCCTCAACAGGAACTCAATGGGAACTCTGCGAGAACTTAAAAGTCATCCGGACTCCGCTGTGGCCCTCAACAATATCACAAGACAATTTTGTGGTCATCAATAAGTCCTTTGACTTCTCTGTACCTTTGTTTCCTCCTCTGTAAAAATGATAGCTAATTTGTTCTCTAAAATCTTCATTCTTGCTTGCTTGAGATAATTGACTTTAAAGGTCAGAAAAAGATCATAATTTAAAAAAAAATAAGCAGACCCTCTTTGTTGTAGTTCTTCTGATCGTTGTCCTGCTTGTGTTGCTCTATTAATCTTTAAATTCATAAATTCCAATGAAAATTACATAAATTAGTTCTAATTGAAACTGCTTTTTTGAGGGTGTCAATGTGCAGCTACTTGGAGACATCTATATAAATGAAAATAAAAGGTAACTATGATTTTACCAGGATGACTAAATATTTAGTTCTCACAGAAAGTCTTTAATGTTGGTACTACAAAGTGAGCTGTTTATCCTGGGGACTGGGAAGGGCATGGAGGGAGAGATCTAGAAACCTGGGCATCATTCCAGTCTTGCCATGATCTTACAAGTGTGATGAGTGTAATTTGGCATTTTTTTTTTGGAAGGGATATACTGAATTTCTTTCTTGAGGCTTAGACATTTCCAAGTCTGTGCCCTTTTTAGAATAGTTAATTCACATCACTGCAGAAACTGATAGAGGCCGCAGGGTCACTTGCAGGATGTTTGCTAAAAATCGTAAAATTCAAACCAGACTGTGATGTTAATTCATTACAGAGACTCAGGATGTAATGCCTTAAAACATTACGGGTGTAATGCGTGGGTGATCTTTAATTTCATTTCTGAGAATTATTTGTGTGATTAATCACATGCAGAAGAAAATGTCCACAGTGACATGTCAGCACTAGGGTGGGGTGTGCAAGTAGAATTCTCTCTAATTACTCCTTCAGTACTATTAATTGAACAGTCATCCAGATCTGTTTCAATGGTCTGTGGCAAGATAATTAGCTGAAATATTCATAAACAAATGTGTAGGGTACCCTCAGTGAGCAGTGTACACAAAACTGCAGCAGAGGATCTGTCCTCCAGTGCCCAGTGCAAACAGATAGTGCTTTTTGCTGGGTTAGATGAACCCTTAAAAGGAAGTTAAAGGTAGAAATGTAAAAGGGCTAATCTAGAAATTCAAGACCCAGAGAGAAGACACCCAAGGTGCATGATGGCATTTGACATGCAGCTGATTGGAAATTTTGGGTATTCTGAGTTACTGTCCTCAATGAACAGAGAGGTTGAAAGTGGTCGCAATCATTTCCCAGCACAGGACTAAGGCCAAGTCACACACACACATCTTCTTAGTTACTGTTTCCTCATCTAGACAATGAAATGAACTGGATGGTTGATTATTTTCAAATTTCTTCTTTTAAACAATCTTAAAGCCACAGGCCCTGCCCCTTCAAATAAAATGCCACACGAGGTAAATCTCCCTTAATTGTGGTAGTGAGAACCCTGCTTACCTGTGTTCCCAGAGACCTGAGGGAGTTATGAATGCTAGATCTCTTTTTAAAATTTTTTTTGTAGTTGTAGATGGATAAAATGCCTTTATTTTATTTATTTGTTTATGTATTTATTTTTGGTACTGGGGATTGAACTCAGGGGCACTCGACCACTGAGCCACTTCCCAAGCCCTATTTTGTATTTTATTTAGAGATAGGTCTCACCAAGTTGCTTAGGGCTTTGCTGTTGCTGAGGCTGTCTTTGAACTCTTGATACTCCTGTCTCAGCCTCCAGAGCTGCTGGATTACAGGCATGTGCTATCATATCTGGCTTATTTGTTTATTTTTTTGTGGTGCTAAGGATCAATCCCAGTGCCTTGCATATGCTAGGCAAGCGCTCTGCCACTGAGCTATAGCCCAAGCCCCAAATCCTAGATTTCTTAAGCTACATTTTATTATTATTCTGAAGATGGCCTACATACCCCCTTGAATGTGTCTCTAAATCTGCATTTCTCAAACTGGACTGTG